GTCGCTTGATTTATTGGATGCTAATTTTTCAAGTCATCTTAACATGCCCCTAAAGTTCGCCAAGCCTAAATGACACCATATGCCTCCACTGTTCCCCTGGGGGCAACCGGTGGAGAGGCGACAAAATGGAAATGGAAATAAGATTTCACTTACTAAATAAGGAACCTTCCAAAATGGCCGAAACGGACACCCACGTGTTGCCCCTCGTTTCCCTCCCACCGTTCTAAAAAGAGGGAAGCTTTCACGTGAAATAATTATGACTGCATTTAATGTACTTTGTTGGGGGAGGGGCGGCGCTGAAATCGGATGTAAAGGTGATTAATCACTGTTTATCAGTCCGAGTTTCTGTGCGGGAGATCAGCGGAATTGGGCACCATAAATCGTGCGCTGCTGACAGCGCACTCCGTCTCCATTCGTCCGGGTGCTACAGGTTTATTGTCCTCAAATCCCATTCAGGAGAATGACTGATGAGGGCCGCCGACTGCCTGCTTTTAACCTCTTCCAGGGAAGTCGTGCTTCTCTCTTCCCCATAAGACTACCTCCCTGGTTCTCATTTCTCCACTCCTCTAGCTTTTCACAGCCTTCTCTCAACATATATTGCTAATTCTATTTCTCTCTTCATCTAAGCCTGGGGTGTTTTCCTTCTGCCCTTTTCTTACTCACTTACTCTATCTTTAAATCTCAATATCTTCCTTCTCTCGTCTTCCCTCAGTCTCTCGCTCTCCCTCAGGCTCTTAAGTAGCACTCGGTAGCCAAAATTAGAGATGCAGATGTGAGGTTGAGGCGCTAACCGTGCATGGGAAACTTAATTGTGTAATCTTGGGGTCGTTTTTCCTATCTTGCTCAATCCGTACAGGCAGCACAAGCATGAAGGGAGCGGAAAACATAATATTGATTGACTGACAGCTCTCTCAGCCAGAGAATTCGGTCCATGGCAGCATGTTGAGACAAACACGGCCAATAAGATTAAAATGCAAAGTAGAGAGCAAAAAATTTTCATGTTTTAAACAAAGATGAACAAATAATTTCAGGGATGTTTGGTTCCTGGCCATGTGTGTCTGCTCCAGAAATGGCTCAACGTGTACTGTACACAAGTACGTGAACCCAGACATTTTCATTTCAATATAAGAATGCATTCTCAGTGTTGCCACGAGAGGGAGCGATAGCGGGTATTAGCTAGCTGTCGTCTTCTATGTTTAGGCAGTCTTCTATTGTAAAGGCAGAGCTTTGAGAAACAATTTGAGCAATTAAATTAATTACATTTAGGAAAACTGGCAATATTTTATAACTAGCTATTAGAATGACATCATATCCAATGCCTGAAATTAGGTATATGGTTAACACAAGCTCAAGATATTTTCATGTTTTAAAATAAAATACACAAGTAGTACCCATGTGTGTGTGTGTGTGTGTGTGTGTGTGTGTGTGTCTGTGTGTGTGTTAAGTTTTTATGTTGCTTGAAAAAGGTGGTTGCTAATGTCAGGGACATTAAATGTCATCATGCTGAACAGGAAAACTAATCTACTTACTAGTTTGCTTTTACTGACTTGTTGTGTTTATACTCACGCTCTTGTAAACTATTCTAACTCTAACTTTCCAGTTTGCAGATTTTAGATAAAGATCTTTTTTCTTACGTATAGCTTTTACCTGTGATTGTGTTTAGGCTTCAAAATTCATAAAAGTTGCATTCATTTGTAAAAATACAATTGTTGATGAACAAACCTTGTAATGGTCATAAACTTTTGATGATCCCAGAGCTTATTTTCTGCAATATTTCAAAAAACAATGGAAAAATCTTTTTTTTTTTTTGTAGAGGGAACCTTGTAGAGGGAAAAAAAAAAAACCGTAATCCCTGCAGCACTCTGTGGCATAGACTTTTAAAGGTAACTTTAGCGCCCCCTAAGTTTATTACCACAACTACACTCCAAAAACACAACAACTTGAAGTATAAAAGTATTAATTATATTCAAGCATTCACATCTCCGTTGCAGAGAGTACATTTGGGGCCTTATATTGATGCACTTAATGGTGCACCTATGTGTGTGCACTCCTTTAAAAGAGCTGAAATGCATTGTGGGCATTTTGTGCTTTTTCAATTACAAAACTACTCAAATAGATCCATAACTGAAATTAAGCAGTCTAATTACAATATTAGAAGTATCGGGGGAGGAAAAAAAACTCCCTTTAATCTAGCAATGGTGTAATATTCTTCATGATAGGGGTTTATCGGTGGTCTGATTATTTAAAGACATTTCACAATAGCACACAGACTGAGAGAGGCCCTCACCTGGCGATTTCCAGGTGCACCATATTAAAGGAGCCAGTCTTGCAGTAAATGAAAGAGTCCCAAAGGGGTAGGGGATGTAATTGCCCCCACACCTTCATCCAAACAGCCCAATAGGATGCTTTCCAGCACTAGAGATACCCCTGTGTAAACCCAGATAAATGCAGAAGTGTGTCAGCGTCCTTATCAGTTTAAACTATAGATGTGCAGATGTGAAGGGTTTCAACCCTCTCCACCTTCTCTTGTGTTGAAATAACAGGAGCGCACGAGGGCTACAAGGATTTATGCTCATGTACACTTTTGCCGTTGTGTGTTTCATAGGCTTGTGTCATAAGTGGCTGGAATGATTTATGGCTTATTATTAAATCGGTGCTGCATGCAGACCCATAGCTCATTATGAGATTACATTTATGTACGTCATGGCACACATAATGTACACACACAAAATCAAAGAAAATATAAGAGCATTGCCCATGACTGGAATTCGGGATAAATTGACCATGGCCTGGCATATATCAGAGACGACCACTGTTTGGCATATTAACACCGACTCTATAGCTGAAAAGGGACAAATTAAAATGTCAACAGCTCTGCGCTATATCAAAACGAAAGAGCAAGCGCCTTACCTTCAGCCATCTGTCTTTCTTATACTTCTGATGAAGGGCCGCGCCGTACCTCTCCACCGCTGATTGCTGTGTTGCATACAAGAGGTTTTATTGTTTGTTTGTTTGTTTGTTTGTCTGAGAGCAGATACCGGAGTCAACGGGAAATTATACCAGAAATTATTGCAAACCCTAGGGCCAAAAGTTTGCTGAATGTGAATCGAAGAAGTCTTTACACCAAGGCAGTGTGCTAAATATATATACGTACATATATGTGCTCAAAATAAACCCAGCTGACCTCATTAAAAGTGGTAACTTTGACGCATATTGACTATTAACTGAGTGCTGCTTGGCTGATGTCTGTACAGTAATGATCAGGAGGAGGCGCAGGTTCTGTTTGGGGGCATGAAATAACTGAAGAGGGCTGTCCTGCTCCTCTGAGACGCAGGATAGACAGCGATAGTGTCATTGGTGCATAAATGAGAAAGAGAGCTCAGTGGGCCGCACTGCTGGGCTGTGTTTTGCTTGCACAGTACTATGGGTAATTATGGTGCTGTCATTGACTCATCAGGCCCATACTCAGTGAAGGTTAAAGAGAGGCTTGGGTGTAACATGCACTTGCTTTCACTTTTTTTACTCTTTTCCTGGTCTTCTCTTTTGTTTATTGTGTAGGTTTTTCTGTAATTCTCAAATATGTTTTTCTAATGTCTCGTTCTCTCAGTTTCGTTTTATTTGGGTGAATCTCACACTCTCAAACCTTTCAAGAACTTAGCCAGGTCATATTTCACAAAAATGACATGCAAATAAATGGAACTGCACACTTAGAAAATTCCAATAAACAGGTTTTGAATAGAGAGTAATGTTTTCCAACATCCAGCTCCTTCACAGTCAAGCTATTTTTTGGATATGCCTGCATTCTTTTATCTTTGGTCGTGTTTCACCCCAAAATGACACAACTTTTGCATTTTCCTTTGAATTCTTTGTAATACCGGAAATCTCATTCTTATTAAAAATAAATAGTACTTGCTATACTGCTATTAATTAATGCTGAATTAAATGAAAAATGAAGTAAACATACTCATTAAGTAAAACATGGATTCAACATCTATGAAGAAAAAAATGACAAAGCAAAAATTTTATTATTATGTTATATAATATAAAATGATATTATAATAATAATATTATAATACTTATAATATATATATTATATATATTCTTTTTTTTTCTTTAGATTTTGGGGTAAAGTGTCAGAAATGTAGACTGATTAAAAAAAATTATTTTTATACTTAAAGTCCGCCAGTCAGATTAGAGCTTGTGAGATTGAAAAAGAGCATTCCATTTTTTATGTGCAATATCCATCTAATGGATTGCGGGCAGTCAGTGGGTGTCTGTGGCCAAGACTGTGTGAAATGTGACCTGGACATGTTTTCACCAATTTATTGTTACACACGCTGTTTCAAGTTTCATTCTGTCTGTTTCACTTTCACATCCGTGTATGTTTCCTTAACATGCATAAAGCCTGATTCTTTCTCTCAACTCTCTGCCATCTCTCCCAGTCTTGACCCTGAGTTGTCCCTGCTCTCCTCCAGGCTGGGTCTGGCCCCAGTGGTGGCGTGAGGCTGGGGAAGTGTGTGTGGGGGGAGAGAGATGAGGGATGGCACCGGCCTGTGATTGCATCTCTAAACAATCCTCTCCATCTGCTCTCTCAGCCCCACGTGCCAGCACCTTGTGTCTCACCTACAACAACCTACCATCTCCCCTGCCTCGCACACACCCCTCCAGAGCGGGAGAGCAGCCAGACGCTCTCACACACACCCCACGCTCAAGGTTTCAGAGATAACCACCATAGAGAGGCTTCCCCAGACAGGAATGCCTTACCGTTTCGTTCTCCAAGCTCTCAGATTAATGCTTAATAATCAGCTGGGAAAGGCTGGACATTTTAGTTTAGTTTATGCAGTGCTTCACATTTGGAGTAGATAATTTTTTAAGAATTTTGCATATTGTTGGGTATGCTCTCATTTAATTTTTCTTGAAAAAATAAATTATTGAGTCAGATGCACAATATTTCTGTGCCACACTTGATGGCACAGAAGTTGGTATTAGAGGGTTTTTTTTTAGATTACCTTTGCCATCACGTAATGATCACTTAAGGTTCATCTTTAAAAACTCTCAAAATTTAAAATATTTCATAATTCAGTTAAATGTAATCTTTAGCAAATCTCTAAATGGATATCCATTTTTCATACAGTACATTATAATGTTGTCATCCCTAAATTCACTAATATAGTGTTTACATGGCATTTTCAGTAACACATTTTAGCATTTTAATATTAATCATATATTTTAATATTAATTTTTTTAAATTAATTTAATGTATGTATTTTTTTAAGTTTTTTTATTAATTTAGTATAATTTTAAATATGTTAATGTAATATTTATTTTAATATCAATCATTTTTCAATTATCTTTCATTAACATGAAAATAATTGTCGGCTTATCGTATCAGCCAGAAGTTTAATAAAGTAATTTTATGTTCCAGCCACAGATGTTGACAGTAAGCCCAGAATTCCATATTTGTCATATGTTTAATATTTATATTAACTTAATATATTTATTTTAATATTTGTAATATATTTTTGTTATTTAATTATTTATAATATTCTAATTTTATATATTTTAATTTAATGTAATGTAATGTTTTAATGTAATTTCAATATTGATTGTTTATCTATTATCTGCCATAACATGAAGCTAATTAATTGCGTATTCGCTTCCACAAGTAACTTGCAATTTTATGTTTCAACCACAGATGTCGTCAGAAATCTCAGAATTCAATAGTGCGCCTTTAAAAAATATCGCAATTTGATTTTGAAGGACATTTTTGTTTTACCTTTGTAGGATAAACACACTTTTAACTGTATCAGGTTGCCACAAATTTGGGTCCTGAAGCAAAACCAGTTGAGAATCACTGACTGTATCATGCTGCCATGCTTGATGTGTTGTGCCAACATGACGCACCGCTTGACATCCATCGGAGTTGTTTTACAGCATCACATTTTAGGATGACAGTCTGTTGTCACACTACCAACTGAAAGCTGATTGGTGGTGACAGGTGCGCCTCTTAGAAGCAAAAGCTTATGTCAACTTCTTTCTTCTCTCCTTTTCTTCCAGTGACAGGCTTCCCCTATCCGACTACAGGGGCGACGGTGGCTTACAGGGGCGCCCACTTGAGAGGCAGAGGTCGTGCCGTCTACAACACGTTCCGCGCCGTGCCTCCACCCCCTCCCATTCCTGCTTACGGAGCGTGAGTAACCCTTCACCCAAAACATGCACATATACTATCTACAAATGGCTCTCTTTCTTTCCGTCCAAGCCTGAGGATGTTATTAGGTAAAATTCAACACTTAAAACAATGTTATCAAAGGGCCATTTTCACATTTTATGTGCTACAGCCTTAACCTGCAACATGACCGCTTGATGGCTATAAAGTGTGTTACACTCTAATGGCGAGCCCTACCGGTTTTCCCCAGTGACAAGACAGAGCAAAGCCCATTATAAAGCAACATTGTTTTTCTCTAAGCACAGAAAATGTCCGTCTTTCCTAATCTGCAAATTTTTTTCCCTTCCACACAGTCTGGAGTGCATTGTTTTGTCTGCCCAATGATTGCATCGCTGCATAATCTTTTCTATACAGCACAAAGAAACTCTGTGGATGTTCGGCATTGATGTATTGTGTTTTGTTATTTCTTGTTGTGTTTTTGCAGTGTGGTTTACCAAGATGGCTTCTACGGTGCTGAGATCTATGTGAGTATACTCGTTTTGCTTTTTCCACTGTTTCTGTAAAAGAAGGAAGGGTTGAATACAATGTTGAGGACATGGCGCTCGCGTTGCTCACGTTCGCTGAGCCTAACCTGAACAGCTGCTGCTGAATCTTTCATAAGGCCAAGGGTCAGCTCAGGTTACCATGTGCAAATCCACCAGGATGGCCGTTTGTGGTGTACTAAAAGCCTTGTTGGCGGCCCTTGTGCATACATGGCACAGTGAAATCACACATGGCTCAACCACTTCCAACTTGGCTTCCTTTGAAGGCTGTAGTTGATCGCTATGGATTTTAGGATAATTCTAACATGTACAGTGTGGAATGAACCAAAAACAAACCCCCCTACGCACTTAACGACTCATTCTTCCACATTTTATCTCCACTGCTGCCTGGTTTTGCTCTTAGTGGGTGCAAAATCATGTCTGATTAAGTTGATGAAGTCGACGTTACAGTGTTTTTGTTTTAATTTATGGCACGCGTTTGATCCGCCTTTCCCTCTGCTTCCATTAATATACAGCCCAAAGGCCTCACGCTACAGCCCAAGATTGTGCCCAGGCCCTATTGTTTTTGACAAGCCTTCAGAACATATTAGTCAGTCAGGTGATCAGAGAGTGTGCCTCCCTTTCCCAGGATTATTTCACTGCATGAAAAATGGAAATTAATTCAACATTTAGATCTAAAACAAGACAAATCAAATGAACGTGGACATAACTGCGATGCCTTTACCTGGCACGCACAATAGTATGTTTGCCGCCAAGTTTGCAAACTGGTAGCCAGGTCCGTGGCTACAGTCCCAGATAGATCTCATAGTCGAACAGATTTTGAAGAATGCACGTAGCACATTTTTGCTTGCCAATAAAGTCAGAATCCATCTCTATGGACCACCCCATTAACTTTTCAAGTAACCTAAAGTTTAGATAATTTATAAAGGAATAGTTCAAATAAAGATTACTCGTTCTCATGTCATTCCAAACCTGTCTGTTGAATATTTAATAGATCTTCACCATATAACCAATTGAAGTTTTCTTTACATACAATGACCGTTTATATTGATCAGGTGCTAAAAAACTCTAAAAGAGCACTGTTAATGTAGTCCTTAAGACTCATGTTCAATATATACACTACCGTTCAAAAGTCTTGGGTCAGTAAGATTTAAAAAAAATAATAATAATATTAATACTTTTATTCAGCTAGGATGCATTAAATTGATCAAAAGTATGTAAATAATTATAATGTTACATAGGTTTCTATTTCAAATAAATGCAGTTTCTAAATGCAGTTTTGTCAGAATCCTGAAAAAATGTATCACGGGTTTCATAAAATACTGAGCAGAACATTAATGTTTTCAACATTGATAATAATGTTTCTGGAGCACCAAATCAGCATATTAGAATGATTTTTCAAAGATCATGCGACACTTAAGACTGGAGTAATAGCTGCTGAATATTCAGCTTTGCCATCACAGGAATTACATTACTTAAAAGGTCTTTTAATTTGCAAAAATATTGAAAAATATTTACTTTTAAACAGTACTGTATAAGCCTTACAAAGTGATACAATAGCTTTGCGTAATGAAAAGATTAAGAAATAAGTAATTATTCACTGATTTTATTCGACTCCGCTGTGAATCTCAAATATGTCTTTTATGGAGCAGGTTGGACATCAGTAACCTTAAACATTACTGGTTTTCAAATATTTCGTAACCGAATGCCATGATGTCAAGCTTGAGAATTTACAGTGTTTTTATGGCAGGCAATGGTCAAAATCTTGAAAAAGAATTTAAAGGGATAGATCAACCACTTACATTTTTATTTATTTATTTATTTATTTTGCTTTCCACAGCAAACAGCAAACAGGTTTGGAACAAAATGACAATAATGTAAATAATGACATAAATATCGTATAGGGTTGATCTATCCCTTTAAATCCATCTGTGTAAGCCGGTGAAACCACCGGAATTAGGAAGCTGTAACTTCTAAAGTATTCATGTACACAATCTTCTGTGACCTGATTTTTCTTCGACTCCAGTAGCTAAACATTTGATCTTAGCAGAGTAGCACCGGACATTAATCCCGAGCTGAAAAATAAATGAGAGCATCTATAATTCAGCGTGCAGTCCTGTATCTGCGATGCCTCAGTCCTGCACGCGCTCTGGCACCGCGATTATTCACATAATGTACCAGTGATGTCAGCGAGCTAAAATAACAAAGAGCAGAACTGCGTTTCATTAAAACAGACACTTCAATAGACACCCCAGCCACTTAGATACTCGCTTACAGCAAATACATTCCCTGTCGTTTAAAGCTTGGCATGTTTGGAGTGTAAGCGTTCACAAAACATCACCCCGAGAAGACTAGCAGATGACGCTTGGTTGTTGCGGCTAACAATCTCGGCTAATGTCATTTGATGCTGCTTACAACACAGCTATTAATAGTTAGCTTGAATGGAGCAATTAATAGCTTTGTCGGATGTCATCTAATGCTTATACAAGCAATATTTAGTGTTATCGTGTGCCGTTCTCCAGCCACGGATGAGCACGTTGTGTGTGTCAAGACCGCTCCCCTGGGCATCGAGCCAGGAGACTCGTATTGGCCAGCCACATTAATTAAAAGACCCCTTCAATAGCTTCAGCCAAATCTTCCATTTGGTTCATTCGCAGTAAGCAAACATTGACTGATTGTAATTGTTTATACCAGATTGCCACTTACCATGCTGATCGATAGTTGCCCAGCTCTGCCATTTCAATTGATGGGATTGATGCTCACTGGGAAGACAAGTCGTTGGTTGCACCGCTATTGGTGCACTCAGTGTAGATAAGTGAAGAATCTCAGATGGTTCACTTTTGGACTCGGGCTGTTAGGCATCTGTGCCGAGATCTATATGAAGAGCTAATGCAGTCAATCTGACAATTCCCCATTAAACAAAAAGGCTTTACAAAAAGCTGTATTGGCAAACTAAATACCACCTAAATCACTCAGCATTCATTTTAGTGAGCATTGACAGGGCCTTTCAGCAGCACTCTTAAGGTTGTAACTGAGCTTTTGGGATTCACTGCATTGTTAGGATCTGAAAAGAGACAGTTTAATGTATGAACAGTCCAGTTTTATTGTGGGCAGATGGTTCTAAAAATTTCATGTCACTGATGCCCTGCTGTTTGCATGTGTCTGACGGATGCCCTTATGTAATTGACAGGGTGGCTATGCAGCATACAGATATGCCCAACCAGCCGCAGCAGCTGCAGCGGCCTACAGTGACAGGTAAGAGTCTTGGGCTTTCTGTTTGTCTTTTGTTAATTGGTTGATGCTTAAAAGACCCCATCTATTCAATACTGGTAATTTGTGGCTATGTATATTAGTTTAGTATGCATCTAAATAATGTTGTTTTTTGAGAATTTTCTGAGATGCTAAACAGTGAACCATCCCTTAATTATCTAATGGAAATCATTTGAGTTGAGGAAAATCACACTTTTTGAATTTTCAAAAAAATTATTTTGGGGGCTGACAAAGTTATTTTGTTAACATATTTAATGTTTAAAACAATGTTTTTTATGCTTCTACCAAATTTGAGAATGTTATTGAATGAATGAATGAATGAATGATGCATTTATATAGCGCTTTATTGTGTATTGTTGTACACCCAAAGCGCTTTACAATCATGTGGGGTGGTCACTCCTCAACCACCACCAGTGTGCAGCATCCACAGGACAACAGCGCCAGTGCGCTCACCGCACACCAGCTACAGGTGGAGAGGAGAGAGAGTCATAGAGCCAATCAAGTGGATGGGGATTATTAGGAGGCCATGATTGACAAGGGCCAGTGGAGGGAATTTGGCCAGGACACCGGGGTTACACCCCTACTCTTTACAAGAAGTGCCATGGGATTTTTAATGACCACAGAGAGTCAGAACCTCGGTTTAATGTCTCATCTGAAAGACAGTGCTTTTTTGACAGTATAGTGTCCCCATCACTATACTGGGGCGTTAGGACCCACACAGACCACAGGGTGAGCACCCCCTGCTGGCCTCAGTAACACCTCTTCCAACAGCAACCTAGTTTTCCCAGGAGGTCTCCCATCCAGGCACTGACCAGGCTCAACCCTGCTTAGCTTCAGTGGGTGACCAGTCTTGGGCTGCAGGGTTATATGGCTGTGGCCATTCTTTCATTCTGCTTTTTAAAAACGGCCCTAGTTTTAAAAAGTAAGAAGAAAAAGAAAAAAAATGTAATGTAGACAATGACTTTGCTTTGGTTTCCACACAGTGAGAGTATAAAAAGCCATTTATTTAGTCTTGGAAATAAACATTTATTTATTTTTCTTTATTATATTGTACTTAATATTTTATCTCACACAGTATAAATGGATGTTTATACAAAGTATATAAGTGCTTTTAGATAAAAAAAAGTCCTGCCCTGTTTCAAAAAGAAATGTCAATATATTGTAATAAAAAAAATGCATTTATCAAGCCATTCATTGGGTCTTACCTCATTATTTGACATATTAAGATTAAAAACATTAACCTTTCTCTGATTTCAAAGAATAATGGTTATGAGTATACAGAATATGTATTTTAAGGCCTTATGCACTTCAACTTTTAACTGTATTTGAGTTCTGAAGTCATTCTGAAAAGTGTTTCTTCAGCTCTGAAAGCCCGGAATGAGTTTACAGATCTGCTCTCTGATTAAACTGGGTTAAATTAGATCGTTTAGACTTTGCTTCCCTATCTTTGATACACTCTCGCCCTTTGAACTTGAATTCAACCTGATTTTCCGTAAACACTTAGCTTACTCACTTCAGGCCACAGGGTTGTGTGTGTGTGTGTGTGTGTGTGTGTGTGTGTGTGTGT